GCTGAGGCAGGAGAATGGTGTGAACCCAGGAGGTGGAGCTTGCAGTGAGCTGAGATTGCACCACTGCACTCCAGCCTGGGCAACAGAGCGAGACTCCATCTAAAAAAAATAAAATAAAATAAAAAGGCATTGATAGTTATATTCAACTCACCTGCCCTTAAGCATCTTTCAGTCATTCTGTTGACTATTTTTTCTATTTTTCCCCCTCAATAAATCACTCATACACCTGAGATATTGAAAGATGTGAGAAATCCTATTTGGAACAAAATGTCTAGTATCAGGGAAATTATAATACCCAGGTATTCTAGACAAATCGCCCTTGAAAGCATATTATATATCATGTAAACTTTCAGATATGTGGGTAATGACCCCCATGTTATATGAAGGATTAATCATTTGACCAAAGGCAGATGCAAGAAAATCCTTATAATGAAGAAAGAGATAAATGAAGTGAATAGATTACATTTTAAATTAAAATAGAGCGAGAAAGAAGGAGGACTAAGTCTCATAGTGATAGAATTTTATGTAAAATAAAACTTACTCAGTAAAGTGCTTTTTGTGGGGCAGGGGTGGTTCTAAATCAGGGGTCAGCAAATTATGGCCCATAGGCCAAATCCAGGCCACTGCCTGTTTTCTGTGACCTGCAAGCTCAGAATGTGTTTTATATTTCTTAGTGGCTGAAAAAAATTAAAAGAAGAATGTATTATGACACATGAAAATTATATAACATTCAAATTTCAGTGATCCCCCATGGTTGTAGCATGATACATGGCTTAGCCCATGGTAATAATGGAGAAGGAAGCAACAGATTCCTGTCACTGTGCCTGTGGTTACCCAGTTTGCACACACCTTGAGGGGGAATAATACTCTTTTGAAGTGAAATTAATGAGCAGACAGGATTCAAAAGAGGGAGTTTGAATAGTCCAGGGGGGTATTTGTTGCTGAAGAACAGGCAGAATCATCTTTTGAAATTAGGAGAAACGAAAAAGCTTTACAGGGTTCAAATTATACCTTCTCGTTGGAAGATCTTTAAGACGATATTTAGTTTCTGAGTCTTAAATAAAGCAGTTATGTCTTCTGCCCTTGATCCAGAAAAGTACTTTGAGCTTGGAATGTTTCCTCTGTTCTCTATTATTGTTCCTTGAAGCAAGACAGGAATAACTTGTTTTTCCCTTGATTTAACATTCCTGGAAACTGTATTCTAAAGGAGTCTATGGTGAGTCCAGGACCTCCTCCTGATAGTGTTAAAATTCAAGATGACTTTCCAAGGACCTCACATTCCTTTAACAGGTCTTCCAGGAATGGTTGTCCAGAGTTCCTTGTAGTCTATATTGAAGATAAAACCAAAACCTAACCCTGAAATTACAGTCTCAACACCTAGAGACAACATATTCAAGTGAATTGCTGAAATATCTGGTCCCGCCTAGCAGAAGCCTTGCCTTGAGGCTGGGATAGCAAGTAAGTTTCAGCTGGCCTCAGAGCCACCGCCTGGAACTCTGTTGATGGGATCCTGAGGTCCCACTTGGACTTGGGGCTGGGAGCAGGGTGACAGCCACCATGGAGGGCAGGGCAGGCAGCAAAGCAGGCACCAGGTTATTTGTCCTCCCCATCTTACTACGTACTGAGTTTGGTCATTTTGAGCAAGTGTAGGTAGAGTTGGCTAACTTACAGTGTTCATCCTTCTCCTCATTTCTGTCAAGAAAATAGGAGCAAGGTAATGTGGTGGATTTTAGGGACAGGGACTGTTTGGATGGAACTGTCAAGAAAGACTTGGCAGAATAGGACCTGCAACTCTTCCATAAAGCTCGAATTAGTTAAAGGAGCTTTGTGAAAAAAAGTGAAACATTGGTAAAGTATTAAGAAAAAAATACAAATTTGCATAAAGATTTTGGGATGAATACAAGGTAGAGGAATAAGCATTCTTCCCCTCAGATTTCTCAAATGTCTCTTTTGCTGCTGTCTTCTCCCGAGGACTGAAGAGGAAGCCTCTGCCCTCTTCCATCTATTCACCCGCCCTTGCCCTTGGACAGTGGGTCCCCCATGCCCAGGTCCATGGTGAGCAGCTCCTCCTCCTCCTGCTCTCTGAGCACTCCTGCCTTTATCAGCAAGCACCAGAGAAGGGGTGACTGGCTGGGCCCCTCTAGACATCCCATCATGCATGGTCACATTTTCTCTAATTAATATCTCATAATATATTTGATCAGGTGATACAGGAACCATTTGAGATGCCTTTCAGAGGAAAATATTGTTATCAATAGTAATTCTAAATTCCCTTTGAGAGTTCACAGTAGGTATTCTGTTTAACAAATATAACTCCTTTTTCAAAATATACAAATTTTGTCAAGATATTTTTCAGGAACCACTTTACCTCTGGCATTAGAGTTTTCTTTCTGCTGACATTTTGATTTCCGGTGGCAAGTGGATTGATTTCTTCCAATTCAGTAACTTCATCATCAGTCCTCATCCTAACAAAAGTGCTGAGAATGTGATGCTTTGCTTCTCATGTCATTTAGTTTTTTTGTTGTTGTTGCATTTCATAGAGTTTAGCTTATGCCTTGTGGGGCTTTTTAATAGTTGTAATGTCTAAATTTTTTCTGTATACAATAAAAATTGTATATAGAAGCTTTAGCAGACAGCTAAAGCTATGTGATTTAGCTAAAGCTTTGCTTGTTA